CCCACGGTAAAAAAATGGAACGTCCACTTCACGCACGAAATCCGCCCAGCATAGCTCGGTTCAGCAGAGCAGGCGAGTGGTTTCAAGTATTAACTCCCAACGACTTTGCGAAATGGCTTCTGAAACTGGATCAACGTCTTGATTTCCGAGAACCTCGGTTGTTTAAAATAAATACTAATATTATTATTTCCCGCATCCACCGAGATGTTTGCCAGAAGAACAACTTCTTTCATCACAAGCGTCTGCTCGAGACCTTAGCAGTCCGGTGTTTCTCCAGTGAGCTCCGCGAGTGGATTTCAGCCGATATCCCTCCTAGTTTGTATTATTCCTTTCCCCACTGGCGCGAGTCCCGCAGCTGCGTGGAGGCAGAATGTAGGCCAGCCCCGCCCTCCTGGGGGCGTGGCCTGGGCGTGGGTGAGCCTCGTGGACAGGACTACATTCAAAAACACGCGCAGGAAAGCCCTCCCTCGCTGTTCCCTGGTGTTATTGACAGCGTCGGAGACGAGGAGACGTCCTTTTCCCTGTCCACAAACTGTTCATTCTAGAGCTCCCTCTTTTCCGCAGTTAGAAAAATATCAAATTACACATCGATTTCCTGCGCCCCTGCGATTCTAACAAGATAGCCCATCATATGCGTAAGATATGATACGGTGGCCCTGTAGATATTATCGTTGCTGCTATTTCATCGTGCACGCAAACTGCAGTTTTCAGACTATCCTTTCGCCGGCCAGCAGGACCGAACTTCTGGGTGCGCCTGGCGGTGATAATTGTCATTTATTCTGTTTTACTATGGAATGCGAAACGAAACGGAAAAGCCACGGATTTCGAACTCCACAGGAAACGACTCTGCTAACAGAAACCCGGGTGACATTTTACGTTTTCGGCGGGGGGGAAGGATCACACCTCTCATGAATTCTCCGCCTTTCTTCCCGCCGAAGTTCCTACATCCTTGCTCGTTTTGTGTTGTTTTGTGAAAATATTAAAGACAAAACACTGAACCTGGACGCGTAGATGCAATCAGATCGATTCGGCTGTATGCCAAGCCTCGTTTTCCAGTTTTGGAAACTGTGCTTCGAGGGGATTTCGGTCGAGTTTATTGATCCTGCTTATCATCCTAGGCTTTGGCTTGAAATGACCGTCTATAATTACCATAGACACAACAGTAAAGCAGGTAAAGCGGACCTCTGTGTCGACTGATATTGGATAACTATAATAACAAACGAAATGTCTGAAACGATTATATCAAAATAATTTGTATTGTTGAAATTAATAGCTTGATTCAAACCGCTTTCATCATGATGCGTTTGACGTAATTGTTAGGTTATGGCGCCCTCTTGCGGTGTGGGAAGGTATTGGAAACGCTTGCCAGTGTCCGCTCGATTTCAGCAGGTACACTTTCAGTATGAAAGCGTTAGTGCTGAGTTCATTTAAATTCATTTAATCCCTGAGTTAGTGCAATATATTTTCATAAGTCAACGAATCGCATCATTTTAAATGAATCAGATTTTTGCTTTTACAGACGTCTGTAGGATAGTAATAATATCGGCCTCTATATTTTTATTTCCTTGCATTTACACTATGAATAGGATCAGAGACGCTACATTCCTCAATGCATCCCTCAATGTACATCCCTCTTTTGTCGTTTTAAATGGGCTGCTCCGCCGTCCAGTTCCAATTTCATAGCGATTCTTAAAGGAAGCGCTGTCGGGCTGTCGGAACAGCATGGGCTGTAAGGAATCGCTACAGTGCACCTATTTATAGCCCAACAGACGGTCC